CAGCGACCACAGGAGGGCGGCAGCAGGACGGCGCCGAGGCCCGCGGCGCTGCCGGGCTCCCTGCGCTACGACACTCGTTTCCTCCACCCGTGATCCCGTGCAGTTCCCGCCGGTTTAAAGGAGAAGCCCACCGGACAAAGTGGCCATACAGGCAAGCGGCCACGACCGAAGGACAGTCCGGTCCTTCAGAGCTCGAAGGGGGTGGTGGCTGCGCAGTTCTTGCTACCGACTTTGCAACAGTTTCTTCTGGTAAACTGAGCCCACATTAGGAAGCCCCATTACAGGACCCTGCTGTATAAGAAGAGAGAAATGAGTCTGGGCAAAGTCTCCGTGCACCTTACTTGCAGTTCTGGGGTCTTGTGCACTTGGCCACGTTGCTTCAAAGCATTCCCTCTATATTTCTCTTAAACATCATAGTTTGTGTGCCCTGATCTGGCCCCTTAAGTGTCCTTTAGGTCTGAATGGACCTTAATTTATCTGGGCATCCTGCCACTCTCCATCTAGCCACTCTCAGTAAACAGTCTCAGAATGCTTCCTTCCTGCCAACACTTTGCAAGCACCAGGGCAGCAACATTTCCTAAAACTCAGCCGTGGCCACGTGGCGATTGCAATCTAGACAGACAGGTGGCAAATAGCGAATCTAAACAAGGTACCCAAAGACCCTGAGAACCACCGTGGAATTTGGGCTGTTTCTGCTCTTGAGACTAAAGGTCAACTATAAATTATGCACTGAAGGGAAGAGAGGAAAGATATGTCCCAAGTTGTGGGTAGTGCTTCTTTCAGGCAGTAGGGAGTGGAAATAAAGTCAGTACAAGTGAAGGGAACTTTTGGGGTCTTTGTTTTGTTTTGTCTTTTGAGACAGAATTTTGCTATGTAGTCTAGGCTGGCCTTGAACTCATTATGGCCTCAAACTCCTGGCGATCCTCCTGCCTCAGCCTCCAAAGTGCTGAGATTACAGGTGTGCGCCTCCATTCCCAGCTGGAACTTTTGATTTTGCTTTGTAATAGTTGGATATAAATTTCAGTCTTATACAGATGCTTCTTGACTTCAGTGGGCTTACATTCCAATAAACCACTGTCTTCTGCTCTATTTTTTCCAAGTTATTGGAGAGTAAATTACAGATGCTTTGTCCCTTCATCCCGAAATATTTTGCTGGGCATTTTCTTAAAAACAAGGACATTAATTTACATAATTACTAAATAATTACCCCAAACAGGATATTAATATTGATACAATACCACTGTCTAATCAACATACTCAGATTTCATCAAAAGTCTCAATAATAGAGGAAATAAAATTTCAGATTATGCATGGTATTCAGTTGTCGTCTTTGTGATCTTTAACTGTAGTAGTTCCTTATTCCTTGTCTCTAGTGACATTGATGTTCTTAAAGACTACTGGTCAGTTATTTTGTCCTTTAGTCTTAGTTGTCTTGTGTTTCCTTGTGGTTAGATTCAAGTTAAACACTTTTGGCAGGGATACCATGAATGCAATGCTCAGTTCTCAGTGCTTTGCAGCAGAACTCACATAATGTCAATTTGTCCAATTACTGATGATGTTAATGTTGATCATTTGATTAAGAGGGTGTCTGTCAAGTTTCTCCATCATAAAACTACTATTTTTCCTTTATATTGAATAAAAAGGTCCAGTTACATTATGTAAATTGTATGTCTCTCCTCAAAATTCCTATTTGTTTGTTTCCACATCTGATCTTTCTTTCTTTCTTTCTTTTTGGTACTGGGCATCCAACTCTGGACCCTGCTCTTGCAAGGCAGGCTGCAGCATGACTGAACTAAATCCCCACCCTGATTTTTCTATTCTTTTCTTTTCTTTTCTTTTTTTGGTTTTTTGAGACAGGGTCTCACTGTGTAATTGAGACTGACTGGGAACTCACTTGGTAGCCCAGGCTGGTCTCAAACTCATAGCGATCCTCCTGCCTCAGCTTCCCAAGTGCTGGGATTACAGGCGTGTGCCACCACACGTGGTCCTGATTTTTCTTTTTGTCATCTTTTGTTGTGTTTGTTTTTATCTGAGACAGTGTGCAGTTATTTATTTGAGACACTGTGCAGTTCAAACTGGTCTTGAATTCACTATGTAGCTAGCCCAGGCTGGCCTTGACCTCTCAGTGAGCCTCCTGCCTCAGTTTCCTGAGTTCTGGAATTACAGGTATGTGTCACCATGCCCAGTTTATATATCTACTGATTTATGCTTGACACAGTTATTATAAGGATAGTTGCCAATGATAAGTTTCTAATTTCATCACTCCTATACATTTATTAGTTGGCTTTCTTTCTCTCTCTCTCTTTTTTTTTTTTTTTTTTTTTTTTTTTTTTTTTTTTGGTATTAGGAATCGAATTTGGGACCTTGTGCTTGTGAGGCAGGCAGCGGAACCACTGAGCTAATCCCTGGCCCCTGGCTCTCTTATACTACATGGTATTTTATTTGTTGATTGGTTGGTTGGTTTGTGTCTGTCCACACAGATTCATTCTATTTAATGAGTTGTCATACTTCACTATCATTATTTATTATAGTGTTCACATTGTCCAAGTTCACATCAGTGAAACCCCCTTCAAGATGGCTCCTTTGTTGTTTGATATGTCAGTATTATTCCTTAAACACTTTTCTATTTTCAGTCACAATGAAATGTTCTAGGTTAAGGATAATCCATCCCAGGGCTGAGAAGGTAGCTCACCACTTGCCTAGCATGTGCAAAGCTCTGGATTAAAGATCTGTGTGTTACTTGGAATCACTGCTTCCCCTTCAGCTGCAGCTCACCCTCCTCTTCTTCCATCTTCATCTTCATTCTATTTACATAACCTCCCAACTACTCTAACTTAAAAATGTTTCTCCACAAATTCCTTAATGTCATTCATTTACTAGTTCAGTACGCACATGTTCCCATTTCTCATAAATACCTTTTTTTTATATAGTGTTGAGAATTAAACCTAGGACCTTATGCATACTTGGCAAGTGCCCTATCACTGAGCTACAACCCCAGCCCCAACAAAAAGTATTTTGTGGGTTTGTTCAACTTAGTGGCCTAACAAAGCCACACATTATATTTGGTTGAAATGATACAAGATCCTAAAATATAATGTCCTAATGTGAAAAAACAGAATTGACTCAAGTTCTTTTAAAAAGATTCTTTATTATAGACAATATCCAACCACACAAAAGAGATAATAAAGTAAGTATAATATTATATTATAATTTAAAAGTTATAACACTACAGTATAACCAGGCATTTAGTGGTGCAGCCGCCTGCCTCACAAGTGCAAAGACCCAAGTTCAATCTCCAGCACCAAAAACAAAAACAAAAAAATATATAGTATAAATAAGCCCCAATGTGCCCAGTTTCAATAGTTATCAAAATTTGCCTAAACTTGTTTTATTTATATCCCCACCACTGTCCTGTACTTCAGTTCTTTTAAAGCAAATAGTGGTGTGTAACAATAATCTCAGTATTCTGGGAGGCTGAGGCAGGACGATCACAACTACAAACCCAGTATGGGCAATTTAGTAACTTAGGAAGAGCTTGTTTCAAAATTCAAATTAAAAAAAGACTAAGAATACAGCTCAGTCTAATGGCTCTGGGTTCAATCACCAGTACTGGGGAGGGGGAGAGAGTAAACGCCACTTGTTATATCAATTTATCAACAAATATTTCTCTAAAGGAGAAACTCTTTCTTTCCTCACTTTTAATACAATCAAAACATAATTATCAGAAGTAAAGATGTTTCTCAATATCAGCAAATATCCAATCACTATTCAACTTTTCATGTGATATATATGTCATATATGGGGTGTGTGTGTGTGTGTGTGTGTGTGTGTGTGTGTGTCTAAACAATACCTCCATGTTGCATTTGTTTGTGTCCTTCAAGTCTTTTTGGAAGATGAATCTTTTTCTTTTTCTTTTGGTACCAGAGATCAAACTCAGGACCTTGCGCTTTCGAGGCAAGTGTGGTGCCACTGAACTAAATTCCCAACCTTTGAAATATCAGTTTTATGGAGGCAAAATTTATAATCAGCAAAGTGCACAATCTGAGATGTTTTGAGTAGACTTTTTGGTCTGTGAGAAAAATGTATTTTAACTGTATAAGTAGCACATGGACTGTTTTTTGGGGTGTTTGTGCTACTTTGCACTTCTGCCAGTAAAGTATGAGAGTTTCTGTTGCTTCACATCCTCACTACCCCCCACTTTGAAACAGGACCTCACTATGTATCCCAGGCTGACCTCCAACTTGCAGCAATCCTTCTGCCTCAGTTTCTGGAGGGCTGGGATTATATATGTGTGCTGCTACCACGTCTGACTTCTCAGAATTGTTTTAATTTGCATTTCTCTAATGGCCAGAGAGGTTGAACATTTTGTCTAGCTTTGTCTTGTTTCTAAGATAGCATTCACTTTGTAGTTTAACTCACTATATAGCCCAGGCTGGCCTCGAACACTTAGCAATCCTACTGCCTTAGTCTCCCTACTGCTGGGATTATAGGTGTGCATCACCACACTTGGCTTTGACTTGTATTTATTAACCATTTGTACTTCTTATTCTGCCTCTTATTCTCTATTTATTTCAGTTGCCCATTTTCTGAGTAGGTCTTTTATTTTGAAGGGTCTAATTTTTTTTGTTATTTGTATATTCTATATGTTAGTCCTATGTCTGTGTATTAGCTGGCAAGCTTTTCCCATTCTATAGGT